CTTGCCTCGAATCGGACTAATCGTGAAGCGATGAACAGATTGAAATATCTAAAAAAATAAAAAATCTTTAGATAAAATTTTTTTCACCTTGCAACCTTAAAAATATGTTATTTTGAGAATTGAAAAAATTGATGAAGGGTATTTTTTTTTTTTTTAGTACATATGGTGGGCAGTTAGCCAGGAAGCAAAAAAGAAAACTAAGAGTAGATCGTGGAGGACCAAGTTTGGTCATTGGAGAGCTCCTTTGATAAAAGGCTGATCATTTCCGGAGGAGGAGTATCAATGTTGGTCCTTGTGATCCCTGAACTCAATGATAGTTTTGCTAGCCAGTGGGCACATTTATTCCTGTCTCTACAGATGAAGTGTCCTTGGATTATGAAGGGTATTTTAGATATTTAAAAAAGTGTTTATCGTTATTAACTTTAAATAAAGTTATATCTGTCAACCTCAAAACTACATTATTATTGTGGGGATTGAGAAAATTAAAGAAGAGAGTTTTGATAATATTCATTAACAAAAAATAAATAAAAATTTTAAATGGAAATTTTTTTGTCATTTTAAAGAAAACAAGTTGTATCATTTAAAGAAAACAAGATATAACTAGTTATAATATTAAAGTTATATTTTTTTCACTTTTTACGTCAGTCGATAACTTATTAGGAGAGAAAAAAATTTAATTAGCAGCTAATATAACACAACTTACCTCCTTTAAAATGACAAATCATAAGTCATTAGATTTGATTTAGCGGTGAGAGATTTGAATAAGCTATATTAAGTTATTTGTTCGATCTCATTTGTATTGGAAAATAATGACAAATCATTTTTTATTTTAAAAATATTCTTTATCAATTTTCCCAACTCTAAAATATTATAATTTTGGGTTGAAGAAGTTAGCTTTATTTCAAGCTGATTAAAAAACGATGGATAAACCCTTTAAAAAATTATAAATATAGTGATTGATTTGAAAGGGCAACAAATCAACCTAACGGGTTTCGAATCATTTAATAACGATTGATTTCACAATAAATTTTATAAATTTATTAACTAAAGCCATAACTGATTGAAAAGCTCACATAGAACGTGTAACTTAAAAAATTATGAATGCTGAGCGATTAAGATTCTATTAACGATAAGGAAATACAAACTTTCTTGTCCATGATTGTACAAAAAATTAGTACTTAAACCACTACTGATTCATGCGTAGTCATGGCCTTTTGCTTTTCTTTTTTTGGTATAAAATCATGGCCTTTTGCTTTGGTTGAATAAAATAAGGGAGTATTATTTCTAAAGTTGAGGCACAAGAAATAATAGTCCCTGCCACCGACACAAAAAGAGATGATAGAAAATATTTTGATAAAATAGGAAAGAATATTTTGGTAAAATAAGAAAGAATGCTTTGATGAGAGAATATTTTGTTGTATTTGTGACAAAAGTATTATTATTTTTGCATAAAATATAAATAATACTCCCATAAAATGAGAAAATTATTAAATCTAATCATCTTTGCTGCTGGCTTTGAAGAAAATAAATTATGAATATGTATATATATTTGAGATTTTGTAGCTCTCCGTCACTGCAAAAGAAATTTCTGCAACAACACTAAGTTACGGTTCCGTATTCTCGTCCAATAAAATTATTTCTGAAGCAACACTAAGTTACGGTTCCGTATCCTCGTCCAATAAAATTTTGCAGTGACAACAGACATGCAAAGCCCATATATTTGTGTGTGGGTTTAGTTAATGAAGTAAGATAATTAAGAATGTTAATTTATGTTGAGGTAGCTAAGCAACGAAGTAAAGTTAGAAGTTTGAAGCACTTAAGCATGTAACATGAATGTTGACAAGAAACACTTAAAGAGAGTTTGATATAGGAGAATTTTTTTTTTTTTATCTGAGAAATATGCTAAGAAAGTTATTTTTACGGGGATATTATCAAAAAGTTGTTTGGAAGGCTAAAATATTTTCATAAATATTAAATCAATTTTTCTAAATCAATATTTGATTTATTATAAAATATTATTGGGGATGTGGACCATTTGTAAAAATAACCTTAATTTTCTTCAAAGCCTCTCTCCCCACTCTCACGTTATCTGAGTCGAGATTTTCATAATAGTGTATCCTTGAAGCTTTCATTTTATGATTTTTCCTTTAATGCCCTCACTTTGCTGAATCTTTCTACGAAATGCTTCAGTTTCAAATGGGTTGTAGGATTTTGCCTTTTTTAGGTTTGTTAAGTATCTGTTTATCAATTAGTGTCTGACTCTATTCTTCAAAGGCAGCCTAACTACAAGTTGGTTATATTTTTGCCCAGAAACTGCGCGTAAAATTTGTGATCAAAAGAACTTAGCGAAAGAGGCAGCAAGAAGATGGGCATGAAGGATAATGTAAACGAATCGCCTATAAATCGTCCAAATGGAGATGATCCTTCTATGAAGAGGGAGTCCACAGATATGACAGGGTTATTTTCATCATAAAAATTGTGTTTCACTTTCCCACCTTTTAGGAAGTCAAGAATGTAATCTTCTGAGTGATATTTTTTGATAATATTTTAATTTAAAAAATACAAATAAAATAGAATTCCGGACAAATCACTTTTCAGTGAAAATTTTTTAAAACGTGCTTTCAAATATAATATTCTTAAAAATGAGTGTTCATCGACTAATTCAAACCGATTCAAATTGCGGTGACCAAATCGAAAAATTGATAATCGAATAAACCAAAAATTGAAAAATCAAAAACTGAAAAAAAATTCGCAAATTTTAATTGGATTGGATCAGATTTTGAATTGATTAATGAAAACCGATCTAATATATTAATTCTCCTCTATCTACTTGGGTCTTTCACCAATCATAGTCCAAAAATTTCTAAACTCAAGACTCATTAACTCATCAACTACATCCAATAAAAAACCTAGTCACATCTCATCAACAAAATTTTATCTGTGTAGAGCTTCATATCTCATTGCCCAAAACAAAAACTATATTTTCATTTACGCTTTTGTATTTCAAAAAAAATAAAATTACAAAGCCAACATATACAAAAGATGTTATTTGCAAAATAATTATGAAATAAATTTTAGAATTTTTCAAAAACCGAAAATCGATCCAATTTAAACTGAAAAAAATTGGATTGGATCGGATTTGAAAAAAATTCAAACTGAATGAATGATTACATGATCAAACCAAGGGATTGAATCAGATCATTTTTTCTTCCAAAACTGATTCAATTCAGACCACGAACACCCTTATTAAAAATCACTCCCACTTTCCTGAGTTTTTCAAAATAATCCCCTTATCAAACATCTGTTATACTAAGTAATCCAAAAAAAAAAAAAAAACATCTGTTATACTAATATCACGGATTTGATTTGACTGATTAACTCCGAAAATTAATGAAAGAGATAAACATGAATGTTATTTTATTACAATCTGATAGCGTGGACAGTTTGGTATATATAGACATTTCATAAATGAATAATTTTGAAGAATTCATTGAAATTAACATCACTTGCATTGTTGAAGCTCTGATATTCTTATGTAAAGAATTTTTTTAATCAAAATTTTAAGATATTGAGTGAAGATATTTTTAATGATTTATATTTATTTTGCCATTTGTTTGTTTTATGTTTATATATTCTACCTTTTATACATCGGGTTTAGCCGTTTTAGCCGGCTTGGTATTCATTAGTTAGCTTCAGTACTGTAACCAACTAAGTAGTTGTTGAGCATTTTTGGTAATATGCTTTTTTTTTTTAAAAAAATTAATAATTCATTTTTTTTTCACACTTGTGAGTTTAAAATTTCTAAAATTACTTTAAATAATTTTATTTATTTTAATGTATGGTGTCCATTTTTTTTTTTTCTCTCTTTTCTCTTTACACGAGTCCATATGAACCCCATATATATTTTTGTGTGTATTTTAATGAACATTAGATAAAATTATCTAAAGTAACCTTTGAAACTTTAAACCCTTTGTTAATTACATGCATGTGTATAGCATCAAACAGGCATGGAACGCATGATCTTTTCAAAAGCACGTTTTCTTCGTTAAAATACTAAATAAACACAGTGCTTACATGTTAATAACACTTGCTCTATAGGCACTTATATGTAGGAAACACCATTATATTTAGAATTTCTATATGAATAATACTAAACGGATAATTAATCAGATCCGTCTAAACTTCGGGCACCGGTTGGTATATATGAAAAAAATTGCCAATGACGAAAAGAAAACAGTTAAATAAATGTTTAAAAAAAAGAAGACGAAGAAAACAGTTTAATAAACAATTTGAAAATAATGTGGGGTGGATAAATAGGTTTACCCACAAAAGCATATTAGTCAAATTGTGGACCGTCTAACACTTGACAACCTCAATACAATACCAAACAAAAACACACCTGCTATGCTAACAAAACGGAAAGCTTCACTTTCAGCACTTTTCATGATTTGGCCTTCATATTGATACGCGTTTAATGTGTTTGAAATATTTTTCTTTCAGTGATAAACTCTTAATTAATATTCTTAATTACTAGTTGAGAAACTACCTCTTTGAAACGTCTCTTAGGTATTTATTTATTTTTAATGATATATTTTGAGTATAAATTGAGTTTATTTTTTCACTCAATTATATTTATTGCATGTACTGTCCGTGATCAGCCAAACACATCATGTTCACGTAATGTAGTTCTTATTTCTATTAAGATAAGAACTTACAAGGAAAATATTAATTGTCGATTTGAACATGATATAAAATATGGCCGCCATATTTTATTTTCCACTTTGAAGTTTGAACTGGTCTAAAGGGACCGACTTTGAATATCTTTTTCCAACATTGGAGCGTATGGGACACAGTTTCTCAATATCTCCGGAAATAATAATATAATCTTATTAGCTGGCTAGCCTCCTATATATAATATCATGCATTTACGCCAAAATTAAAGCGATTAAGCAAAATCATAAGTGACAGAAAACAGAGAAAGATTAAGCAGAATCATCAACATGGCACGCAAAGGCTTTTACTTACTCGGCTTCATTGCTTTTGTTCTTGTGATTAGCAAATCCAATGTTAATTGCATAGAAACTGTTGCAGTTGAGCCTATTCTTGACGTTGCTTCGTTGAATCGAAACAGTTTCCCTCCAGGTTTCATCTTTGGGGCAGGATCCTCGTCGTACCAAGTATATAATTAATCTTCTTACATTAATGTTTATTTGTTCACTTTATTTTTTAGACTCTGATATTGATATATTATGTTGTGTTTATGATATGTATATTTATTTATGTATAGTTCGAAGGTGCAGCAATGGAAGGTGGTAGAGGACCAAGCATATGGGACACCTTCACCCATGAACATCCAGGTATATATACAGTATCTCAATTTTATTTTATTTTTTCTTTCTTTCCAAGATATGGGGAAGGGAAATTATTAAGCTTTGCATGTTATCTTTTATAGTTTAATTAATAACCATATAAAATAATTGGCGAAAACATCATGCATGTCTTACAACAGCGTCGTCACTCGTCAGTAGCAATAGAAAAAGCGTTATTTTATATCTTCATAAGCGTAATTTACAATTTTGTACACCTTGAATTTGCATGCAGAAAAGATAAAGGATAGAAGCAATGGAGATGTAGCCATTGACACATATAACCACTACAAGGTATGGTTGCGTCTAAACTGAATGATGTATGTTGAAAAATGTGAAATTCGTAATTATAAAACATAACTAATACTTGTATTTTATGAACTGGTAAATTATAACGTAATAAAACAAACAGATCACTTAAAGAAACTCGATGGAATTCGACCCGACTAACAAAATTTGAATTGATCAAATTGAAAGTTAGATAAATGGACATTAAATAGACTTCCTTGAGTGGTTTATTTTGTATTTTGATTTTGATTTTGATTTTCGGTACAATATATAATACGTTTTTGTCCATATATATATTATAGGAAGATGTTGGGATCATTAAGGATATGAACTTGGATTCATACAGATTCTCCATATCATGGTCAAGAATATTGCCAAGTAAGTCAAACGTTGAACAACGAATTCTGTTGGATTTTTCATTTAAGTTGAACAATTAAAATTAATCTTTTATGAACTTTATTTCCACAGATGGAAAGCTAAGCGGAGGTATAAATCAAGAAGGAATAAATTATTACAACAACCTCATCAACGAGCTAGTGGCTAATGGTTACAACCCAAACTCAACTGAATCAATTTCTTATTGTATTTTTCCTTTTGACTTATTCTCTTGTTGATAATCATAATGAATTAAATATCAACAATTACAGGTATACAACCATTTGTGACTCTTTTTCATTGGGATCTTCCCCAAGCCTTAGAAGATGAGTACGGTGGCTTCTTAAGCCCTCGCATAGTGTGAGTTTCAATTCCAAAGTAAAAACTTATTGCGTGTTTAACAAATTCAATACCTAGATATGATTATAATCTTTTAAACAAACTTATTATTCTTCAGAAAAGATTTTCGGGACTATGCGGATCTTTGCTTCAAGGAATTTGGTGATAGGGTGAAATATTGGGTTACTTTGAATGAGCCATGGAGTTATAGCAATAATGGCTATGCAAATGGGAGAATGGCACCAGGTCGTTGTTCAGCTTGGTTGAATCTAAATTGTACTGGTGGCGATTCTTCAACAGAGCCTTATTTGGTTACACACTATCAACTTCTTGCTCATGCAACAGCTGTTCGTGTGTACAAGACCAAGTATCAGGTTCGTTACACTTTGATGATAATAACCATGTACTTTTAAACTATATTAGGTTTTACTATGTTAATTATTTTTGAATTAGAGGAATGATAAAAAAAAAAAGTGTAACTATTGATAGGTGTTGTTTTTTAATTTTTTAATTTTTTTAAAAAGAATACTTATAATAAACCAAAATATTTGAATACGTGTGTGTGCAGGCATCTCAAAAGGGTTCGATAGGCATAACCTTGGTAGCAAACTGGTACTTGCCACTCTCTGATTCCAAATCTGATCAAAAGGCTGCTGAAAGAGCAATTGAGTTCATGTATGGATGGTAAGAGCTCCTCTTCCTCTCTTGACTAAGTGAAACTCGCTATTTTTATTTGGGATATGTTTTTCTCATGTTGCATAAGACATATTGTCTCGTGCAACACACAAAAAGTCAATATGATTCGTTTTTTTTTCTTTCTCTCTTCTTCTTAATGGGTCCTATTCACTTTTTTGTGTGTTGCACGAGACAATTTGTCTCATGCAACATGAGAAAAACATTTCCCATTTTTATTTTTGTAATAAAAGGTCCATGATTTGTTGAATGGAAAGTTGAATTCAAAGCTTATTTGATTTTAGGTATATGGATCCACTAACATCAGGAGACTATCCAAAAAGCATGCGATCTCTCGTGAGAACGCGATTACCAAAGTTTACCACAGAGCAATCGAGACTACTCATTGGTTCATTTGATTTTATTGGTCTAAACTATTACTCATCAACTTATGCCTCTGACGCACCTCATCTGAGCAACGCTAGACCTAATTACCAAACAGATGATCTGGTCAATCCTGCATGTAAGGATACCAATCTATTACCTTTTATCATATACCGCATATAAACATTGAATTTGATCAAGGTTGATAATGACTTATCTTATATATATATATTTGTGCTTTATTGTAGTTGAGCGTGATGGGAAACCGATAGGTATAAAGGTACGTGTATAGCCACCTAATTTGTAATTGCTTTATAAGTTTAATCCATTTTAAAAAAATATTAAACTAACCCTTTTTTATAATTATATATGCAGATTGCTTCCGATTGGTTGTATGTTTATCCACGAGGAATTCGTGACCTTTTGTTATATACCAAGGAAAAGTACAATAACCCTTTAATTTACATAACTGAAAATGGTAAGTAATATTGTCTGTTTATATAACCTATTTAGTTTTCTTGAGTGCAATATTATAAATCACCATACATGGTTTTCTTTGTTCTTTTTAATGACAATTTGCATTATACATATATATTTACTTGTAGGTATAAATGAATTCGATGATCCAACCGTATCAGTTGAGGAGTCCCTTATGGATACTTTCCGAATTGATTATCATTATCGTCATCTCTTTTATCTTCGATCTGCAATTAGGTAAAGTATTCTTCTATATTTTTTTAAAAGGGTTTTCATGTATTTTTATCATATAATTTAACATGTATTTAATTTAATTTACTTACTTTAATTTATTTATGTATGACAGGGAGGGTGTGAACGTAAGGGGATATTATGTATGGTCTTTGTTTGATAATTTCGAATGGTCTTCGGGCTATACGGTGCGATTCGGAATGACCTTTGTGGATTACAAAAATGGCTTGAAAAGATATCAAAAACTCTCGGCACTGTGGTTCAAGAATTTTCTCAAAAAAGAAAATAAACTTTATGATTCTAGTAAATAATGTTATGAGATTCATTCATTAAAAAAAATTATATTTGTAAATAATTATTTTATTTTTTTATTACCTTTTGTTGTAAATGATGATAAATATATCATTTATGATTGATTATATTTTTTAATTTACCGTGTTTTGCATTTCTTTTCTTTTTATTTGTGATATTTGATGAAAATAAAGCTCACTTTTTTCTGTTCATGTGGCTGGAAAATAAAAATTCAACGAAGCAAGTAACTGTAAGTACTATATATGGATCACTCCAAACAAAAAAAAATAATGATAAATGACCCTGGGAAGTTGGAATAAAGAGAACTCAATTACATTAAAAAATATTAAACGCTTTAATTTATTGAAGCAACCCATAATGACAATCTCGGCCCATCGGCTCCAACGTACGCTAACAGGCCCAGCAGAATCAAGAATAGGCCCAAATACATAAGAGGCATACCACACATAGATCAAAATCTTGTAATTAAGGATGAAACTGGACCGGATTGGCTTACAAGAGCCTTTAACCTGGCCCGCTACTGGTACGCTTCCAAGCCAGCCCAACCAAACAACAGAGCCACATCTGCCAAATAACAGCCTTTGTATCGCTGATATCAAAATACCACATCCGCTCGGCCCAATCTCCCCTTCTCTCACACCCGCCATATCACTTCTACACTCTTCTCACATCATTGGAGTCTTGGACCACACTCTCTCTCACTCTCGAGTTCACCCACAAACCACCACCATTCTCTCTTTTCTCTCTTTACGTTCTCATTTTCTCTCACCGGACCGCCACTACTCCTTTCATCAAGGAAGTCCTTTGTCTCTCTTCTTCTCTCACGCATACCCTTTAATCATAAAATTATTTGGGTAATAATTTTCTCATGCAGTAGAAGATAAGTATTATCTCATACAGACTCATTTGTGCATGTGAGATCAACTGTTAATGGAAGAGAAAAAAAAAAGGTAAAGTGGCATCTATCTTGAATTTGTGTATGTAGGAGATAGATTATATCTTATGTAATATAAGAATAATAAATCCCAAATTATATATATATATATATATATATATATATATATATATATATATATATATATATACTTTAATACTTCTTAAGTTGTTATACATGAGAAATTTTGCAATAACACTTAGAAAGTCAGAATACGTAAGTGGATCCTGATTTTTTTTTTTTTAAATGTCTGGATCTGCATGCACATCTTAGTACAAATATATTTGTTGCATAATTTCCCATCTCTCATCGTTGCAGAATATATATATATATATATATATATATATGAATGGAGACTACTTAATATTGGAAAATATTACTCTCCTTTTACATAAGATATCTTCTCTCATGTTCTCTCACTTCGATTTTCGTACCCCTCTTTTTTCTTCTTTTTTCTTTTTTCTTGTAATGGTGGGATCCACCTATTTTTTCTCTACAACATAAGATAACTATCTTATGTTAAATGAGATTAATAAAACCCCTTAATATTATACTTTGAAGTAATTCACGGATGTGGTAAGCAGGAGATAAGAAAAATATAATAATATATATTTAGATACATGATTCACGGTTTGTCTTCATGAATAATAAAGCAAATTGTGACATGTAATCAGAAGACCTCTTCATGTATAACCTCATCTTTGATTTATTGAATCGTCAAAGTTTTTATTTGGTGGCTGTTTTTTTTTTTTTTCGAAAAAGCTTAATCAAATATCTTTTTATCATATAAATTTTTTTTATGAAGCCTCTTATCATAAAAAAAAACTTCTAGGGACTTCTTTTAGGATGTACTTCAATTTTTTTTGGAGTTTTCATATTTTTTCTAATTATGTAATAATTAAAAAAATTGTATTTACATATTTTCCTCTCTATTCTAGTAATGAATCATATAATCTCCTCTTCCCCTTCAAAATATTAAGAACGTCACTAAAAATAATAAATAAATTATATTTTATTTATTCTTAAATTTATTTTTTCCTTTAAAACCTTTATCTTTTAATTTTTATTATATTTGTGTTTATTATATAAATAGAACTTACGAAAATATAACTTACAAAAATTATTTTACTAAATAATTCATTTTTAACTTGAGCTTTAAAATAATTTTAAACTTAAAATTTAATATAACCATAAACAGTTTTTAACTTTTTTTAAACTCTTAATTTTAATTTTAATTTAAAAATAATTTTTAATATAAAAAAATACGTCAAAGTGGCTCAAAATATCATCAATTAAAATCGCGTTGGGTGACTAGGTGACGCTATATAGATTCAATCAGATACAATGCATTTATTAAATTATATTAGTTTATTTTTATTAGTTTCCCGCACAATTATATTTAAAGAAAAGGACGCGAAATCAACACGAGGAAAGTTTTTAATCTTCATAAAATTACTAACTCAGGCAGTCTTACTTTTGAATAATTATTGCGCGTTGCGGCGCTCCGCTTCTCATTTGACAAATATAATGCTGTATAGCAGCTATTACCCTTTATCCGAGTTTAATTTATGATATTTGACCGATTATTGATGAAAGATGCAGGTTGGACCTAATATTCTGTCAATAGAATAACCTGTGTAGTACTGATACGGATACGGAACACGTGACACGATACGACACGACACTCTGACACTGACACGTTAACTTTAAAAAATGTTAGATTTCGACACGTTTTGATATTAAATAATATTTTTAATTTATGTAGTGTATATTATCTTTAATATTCAATAATTTAACAAAAAAATGAATCTAAACTTATAATATTCATAAATTTTGTAAAGAAACATAAGATATCCCAAATATTTATATTAAACTCAATAAAATGGTAATCGTAATATAACAAATCTAATAGTTGGAGCTAAAAACTCAACGCAACGCAACTTTTGTACATTTTTCTGAATTTCTATAATGCGTGTTGGAGTGTCGGGGAGGGTCGGAGTATCCAAGAGTGTCGAGAAGTGTCAGACACGACACGTTAGGATTTCTGAAGTGTCGGTGTTTGATAGAGAATAACAATAGCCACTATTTTTAAGGGGATAGAATTAACTGGTATATATCTTAAACTACTGGCATGGTTCATACATGGTCATATATATTGTCTTCTAATAAAATAATAATAATTATTTTTCATCAATTAATTTATTCTGATGATGAATGTTATACTTACAACCATTTTTTTTTATAACTTCTTACAACCATATCTTAATACCGTTGATTTCTGTCAATCAACGGTTATCATTTATTGTGAATTAATAATTAATTAATGAGTTTAATTTGCGAAAATCATAACCGTTGATTGACAGAAATCAATAGTGTTAAGATATGGTTGTAAGAGGTTGAAGAAAAAAAGTTGTAAGTATAACCTTTCTCTATTTCGATAGCTTAAATATATTTATAAGACAAATCATTTTACACTATTGTAAATATAAGAACTCTTACATTTCATTATTAATCAATAATTTTCTTTGTTTCTAACGGTTCATGTGAACTCTGATTTCCAATAAGTTATACCAATGTAAATAAAACTAGCTAACGGTTAATAATTAGAAGAAAAAAAAATTGTCCTTACACTGATTGGAAGTTGATAATTTCCTATTCAAGTTATATATGCACATATACCAGTATTTAGAATTAGTTAGATTATAATAAAATAAGATGCAAGTTATCTTGAGGTAGGAATAAATTTTTTATAATTTGACTACTTCTATATATAATCATTAAAATAATATGCAAGTTATATATGCACATGTACCATTATTTTAAATTATAAATACGCACATGTACCATTATTTATAATTTGATGTATTTTGATGATTTTGTTATAAATTTTAATTCTAGATTTAATCATAAATCCTAAACACATTTGATTATATATATAAATCATAATTTATAATAATTCATATTTGATTATATTTATGGATTATATTTTAATTAGTTTGAATTTTTATTTGATATATTTTTAAAATTAAATTTATATATTTTAATAAATTTATGTATTAAGTTTTTAATAAAAAAACTCATCTGATTAGATTAAAATAAATTATAATTTTAAAACAAATGAAACTCATCATATGAAAAACATTTGACATACTAACATTTGAATATTACAAATTTTGAAAATAAATATAATTTTGTTAGAATTTGTATTTCTTTAATTTGTTAAGATATATTGTAGCTAGTGGTCAAATAAAAAAAATATCTGAGCTATGATGGAGTAATAGCTATATCTATATCTCTTAAGAGGTGAAGTATTTCGTTATATGGGTATTCAAGGAGGCAATAGTTGTAGCAACTATTGGATTTATACGGAAGCGGTTTAGGACCTAGTATATTGATATGCTTACCGAATCATTCTCGTTTTTCAATTACCTCTTGGTGCGCAGATCTCGTGTAGAATCTTCCCTTGGAGGTTCGATCTATTGACGGCCAATAACTCGGTATTTTGAGAGTGAGATTATTTATTAACGGTATTTATGAGATAAACAACATAGAATTTGTAGGATATGTCCCTTTGATATGTTTCGGTACTTGAAAATTAAAGACACTGGCCAGTGCATGTAATTCATTAGAGAAACTATCATAGTCAAGGGAATAAATAATTAATTGAGTTACAGAAAACTTGTCAATCAATTATAGACATTCTACAAAGGGGCGATGCATATTCGTGTTATAAGTGTTATTAATCTTGGAGTTCAAGTTCAGGCTTTTAGTGGAACAACACCGAATTAGATAATCATTCGTTGATTATCAAGAGCCTTGTTTAATAACAGGTGGTAGATCCTCAGGCTAGCTCAAGAAACGGGATGAGACAATTTCAGTTGATGACGACTATTGGGATACATGGACTTAGGCTTAGGGCTCAAGCTTATACTCAAGAGCAAGTGAGAGATTGTTGGGTTTTGCTCTTTCACTAAAGCCCAATATGGTCTAATGTATAAGAAGAGCCCAAGAAACCTAAAACTCAATCTGCTTAAGGCTAGGGTTTCTTGGAACCCATATATATTCTGCACTTATAGTCATCAGCCTCTTAAGTCTTCATTTGGTGGTTGCAGAGACTGACGTAAGGTCATCTCCCTGAAAGTGAGAGAGTGTCCACACACTTTCTATTTCCCCTTGAGACATAGTCTGGAAGATTTGCCACAGTCTAGTTTCAAGGAGGCTGTTCGTACCAATGTTATAAAAACTGGACCGACCTGGCCGGGTCGACCCGGAAACCGGTGAACTGGTCATGTAACCGGTCCGGTTTTTATATTGGACCGGCCATGTTACAGAACCGATGTGACCCGGTGCAACCCAGTCGGTTTTCGTAAAAACCAGTGACCCGGTCGATTCAACCGGTGACCCGGCCTGGTCTATAAAAAAAAACTAATTTATTTTCATAAATTAATGTCTTTTTTTTTTTACTCTCAAACACAAATGATTTGTTTTCTTCTGAAATATTTGAGTGATTTGTAACTTATTAACTTACATAGATTATGTACCTACAACACTATATTATCTTGATTATGCAATATGTAGGGAATTTTGATTTGATTTATAGTTAGAAATGTCGTTTACTGAACCTGAAACACTAGTATCACAAATATTATATGTTTGATTGATCTTTTGTTGGACAATGATGTGTAATTTATTATTTTCATATTAAAATATTTGAAATTAGTATATGTTTTCTACAGTATTTAAGTACATTTATAGTTTTTTTAATATAAATTGTAAATTTACATATACTTACCGGGTCATGCGGTTGAATCAGTAACTCACTGGTTGAACCAGTGATCCAGTACCTCGACCGGGTCAATAACCGGGCCGGGTTTAATAACTTTGGTTCGTATTGCAGCGCTGAGGAGATCAGTTCGTGAGTTCGTGCTGTGACGCAAAGGACTCTAGTTCGTGGAACATCATCTCAAATCTGCTCTACAAGAGGTAATAATAAAACTATGATGATCCTATACATCCAAATCACAATGGTCTTAAACACTTCCGCTGATGCAATTGCTCCTACAATATAGTATGAACCTAAACTTTTGAAGAGTCATCATGAGTGCAGTCTCAAAGCAAATTGATAAATGTGGAGTGCGTAAGGGCTACGATAGCTCCAAAATCTGCCATAGTATAACAACTTCATGAGATGTTGAATATCAAATGCTTCTTCTATTGGAACAGAGAGGTTTGTCTAGGCAGAAAAATATTAATGAGAAAGATTGAGGTGAGCCTAACCATTAACTAATTCTTCACTTTTGCAATAAGGAGTTGCTCGATCATCGTGTGTGTACAATGTTAAGTTGTGCATCTGAGATATATTCTCTATATGGTAAGGTCTTTGTGATCTCTATAGGAAGATGGGAGACTGATCCCTTAATGGGCATTTCCAGACTGGCACAACAAATTGGGCCGTGAAGGCTGGTCTAAAATAGTTCTTGGATAAAAATAGTTCCAGTTATTATATAATAATATAACAAAATTTACATTTGATAATGGGACAGGTTATATTTACAAACTTTTTTGCTTACAAACTCTTACAAACTACACTATATTCTCCCGAGAGAATACAAACTTTTACAAACTACACTATGTTCTCCCGGGAGAATATAGTGTAATTTGTCAAAAAATTCAAAAAAAATTGTAAACGGATCGTGTCCCTTGATATATAATAAGTATAATAATAAGAATATTATAAATGAAAAATTAGGGGAAAATGTGCATCATTTTGAAGGACAAAAATTGTGTTATTTTAAGTGAGAGAAAGAGATAAATCATAAGAGAGAGAATGAGTGAGAAAAGTTTTAAAGATGTGGGTCCTACCTTTTTGTGAGAGTGAAAGGATATAATGTGTGTCATTTAAAATGACACACCTTTTTCCCACAAATTATATTATGATTTAATGATTCGTGTTACAATTTTTTATGCATTCTTAAAATAATGTTGCACTAAAAAAAGTTGCGAAACTCAACATCCCGGCCTACTACTGGAACTGGAAGTTAAACTAATTGAGTTATAGTTATAGTTATACATTGTCAATTCAAAAACCCCAATGGGTCATACATAGTTATACAGCCGCCATATTTTAATAACTTTTTTAGTCAACATTGCTTAGTTGACTCGGCTAGTTTGGACAATTGCTCAAAGAGAAATATGAAATCATCATTTTGTGACAGTCCGATTGGGTGAACAGTTTGGGACAAATTACACCCACTAGTATTATTAACTAATTCTTAATTTAAAAAATTATTTATTATTCATCTTTGACCATACAAATTAAGATAACGAAGACCGCATTATATATTTCTTATTCCTTGAAGAAAAAAAAAATGTATAAAAACGCCGCCGTCTATTTTGACATTCAATTTGAGGGGTGAATAGGCCAAAAAACACGTGCAAAAACGTAACAGTAATCAAATAAGATAAGAAAAACGTGGGAAGAAATAGTAAGTGAGTTTTCCTATATAAAGAGGGAAGGATTCCAAGAGATAAAGGGCAAGTGAGTAAGCAAAATATATCACCAAATATGGCATTCAACGACTATTTCGTTCTCAGCTTCATTGCTCTTATTCTTGTTAGCTCATCCAAAGTTACTTGCACAGAAACAGATGTAGTTGAACCTATTGTTGACATTTCATTAAGTAGGAGCAGTTTCCCTGAAGGCTTCATCTTTGGGGCGGGATCCTCGTCCTACCAGGTACGTACATATATAGCTAGCTCTTCTTACAATATTATACATAGAATAGTAATTAATGACCTATCTAGCTGCTTACTTTATTTCATGATTTTGATTTTGTTATGTTTGTAATATGCATGGATATATATACATATATATAGTTCGAAGGTGCAGCAATGGAAGGTGGTAGAGGACCAAGTATATGGGATACCTTTACCCATAAATATCCAGGTAAGCTCGTAATTCGTCATGGATTGACTACAATATAGAAAAGATTATTATTATTTCAATGAAATATAGGAAAAGAGATTATAGACCATTTTATTGGAAGAAAGTCAATATATAGTACATGTCCTATAATATAATATGCGTCAATGACCAAAAAAAAAACTTACATTTGTTTATCTTGAAATAATGAAATGCAGAAAAGGTCAAGGATAGAAGCAGTGGAGATGTAGCCATTGACACGTATCACCACTACAAGGTATATATATAGTTCCCTCACGGTATTTATTTGTATATATCTTCACTATCTTGTAATTAAAGTCATGAATGATGTATTTCAAATTAATTATAGTGTGTGGTGTTCATAAATATAAATGAAAGATTAATTATTTAAAACACTTACTTAATAAATTATAAATATGCGAGTATTTATTTTTCCAATTTTCTTTCCCTTGATTAATACATTTTTTTGGTAAATTTCCACTTACATTTTTATTAATGATTGTCGTTTACGTACGTACACTTTATTTTATGAATTACAAACTATATATAAAACATTAAACCCAAATGATTCTTAATGAATCAAATATTACACCTAATCGTGGAATTCGACTGCAAACAAATTTTCAACTCTAAATAAAAGAAATAAAATAAAATTCAATATAGATTTCCTATAGTAGTTTCGTTTGTATTTGATGTTGTTTTTTCTGTACACTAACGATATTTTTGATGTCCACATAAATTACAGGAAGATGTTAAAATCATGAAAGATATGAATTTGGATTCATACAGATTCTCCATATCTTGGTCTAGGATACTTCCAAGTAAGTTAATTACAAATCAATATGAATTAAATATTGCGTAGTTGGGTGTTTCGCTTTGACCATTTAATTTTTTTTATTAAACTATATATCCACATGCAGAAGGAAAGCTAAGTGGAGGTATAAATCAAGAAGGAATAAACTATTACAACAACCTCATCAACGAGTTACTGGCTAATGGTCAGAATCCAAACTCTACTAATTCTTCAAATTTGCGTTACACTTTGAAATTTAGCATTTTCTCATGATGTTTATTATCATGATTATTAAATATCAATCATCGTGAAACCATTGCAGGTATACAACCATTTGTGACTCTTTTCCATTGGGATCTTCCCCAAGCCTTAGAAGATGAGTACGGTGGCTTCTTAAGCCCTCGCATAGTGTGAGTTTCAATTCCAAAGTTTAGCTTATTGCTTGCTTAACAAATACAATACCTAGATAAAAAACTAATATGTTGAACAAATGTATTAATCTTCAGAAAAGATTTTCGGGACTATGCGGAACTTTGCTTCAAGGAATTTGGTGATAGGGTGAAGCATTGGGTTACTTTGAACGAGCCATGGAGTTATAGCAAGAATGGCTATGCAAATGGGCAAATGGCACCAGGACGTTGTTCTGCTTGGTTGAATCCAAATTGCACTGGTGGTGATTCTGCAACAGAACCTTATTTGGTTACGCATCATCAACTTCTTGCTCATGCAGTGGCCGTAAGAGTGTACAAGACCAAGTATCAGGTTTGATATTTTGTTGAGAACCTTTTACTAAATTGTTTTTGAGATAGAGAAATGATTAAAAGAAAAATGTAGCTATTGATAGGTGTTGTATTTAATATTCTTTTCAAAATTACTTATTAACCTAAATACTTGAATATGTGTGTGCAGGCATCTCAAAAGGGTTTGATAGGCATAACCTTAGTAGCTAATTGGTTCTTGCCGCTCTCAGATACCAAATCTGATCAAAAGGCTGTAGAAAGATCAATGGACTTCATGTATGGATGGTAAGAGCTCCCATCTCTCTCACATAATTTTTATTTAGGGACAGGATCCGTTTACAAATTTTTTTTGCAATTACACTAAGTAGGACCGGTCGTACACTGTGTGATTAATGTAGGACCGGTCCTACTTAGTGTAGTTTGTAAACAAAAAAGTTTGTAAATATAACTTGCACCTTTAATTTATCTACAATTTTTATTAAGGCTTTGAAGAGTACTTGGGTTATGGTCTTTAGGGGTGTATATGTTAACGATTTGATAAGGGTAACTTGTTAATTTTCTTTTTTGGGTGATAAGGGTCCATGACTTATTGAATGGAAAATTGAATTGAAAGTTGATTGATTTCAGGTTTATGGATCCACTAACATTAGGACACTATCCAAAAAGTATGAGATCCATCGTGGGAACACGATTGCCAAAGTTCACTACAGAGCAAGCCAGACTACTCATTGGTTCATTTGATTTTATTGGACTAAACTATTACTCTTCAACTTATGCCGCTGATGCACCTCTTCTAAGCAATGCTAGACCTAGCTACCTAACGGATTCTCTAGTCAACGCAGCATGTAAGGACACCAATCTTCTATACCTTCCTTTCAATTCTCTAAATTAGTTGCATATATATGTTGAAATTGGTCATGCTTGACAATAGCTTGTCTTTTATATTTGTGATTGATTTCAGTTGAACGCGATGGGAAACCCATAGGGATAAAGGTATATGTTTAGCCACCAAACTTGATATTACTTTACAAGTTTGATCCATTTGATAAAATACTAAACAAACTTATTTTAATAATTATATGCAGATTGCTTCCGATTGGTTGTATGTTTCTCCAAGAGGAATTCGTGACCTTTTGTTATACACCAAGGAAAAGTACAATAACCCTTTGATTTACATCACTGAAAATGGTAAATTACACCTATCTATATATATATACCTTATTTAGTTTACTTGAATGTAATATCATACATCCTCATTTGTGATTTTCATTTTTTTTTCTTCTTAACATTTGAAAAAAATATGTATGGCAATTTACATTATACATACTTTTCTTAACTTATAGGTATAAATGAATTTGATGATCCAACACTATCAGTTGAGGAGTCTCTTATGGATACTTTCCGAATTGATTATCATTATCGCCATCTCTTTTATCTTCGATCTGCAATTAGGTAAGTAGTCTTTTATATTTTTAAGAGGTTTTTGTATCCTTAATCATACATTTAAAAAGTTGTTTAATTTATTTCCTTTTAATCATGTATGACAGGAATGGCGTGAATGTAAGGGGATATTATGTATGGTCTTTGTTCGATAATTTTGAATGGTCTTCTGGTTACACAGTGCGATTCGGAATGACCTTTGTGGATTATAAAAATGGCTTAAGAAGATACCAAAAGCTCTCTGCATTGTGGCTCAAGAATTTTCTCAAGAAAGAAAATAGACTGTATGATTCCATAAAAAAAATTACGAGTTTATTCATTCATTAAAAATTTATATTTGTAAATAATTATTTGTTTATTTAGTTTATTATTTTTTCCTTGTAACTAGGTCCTATTGGATCAGAAGGGTAGTGGAGAATAGAGATGTAGATTTATTGATCATATATTCGATTGTTATTATTGTTTCATTAATAACGAAGGAAATTAGAGTTATAATGATAAATATACCATTTATGACTAATTATATTTTTTTAATTCACTGTGTCTTGTAAATTTTTTTTATTGTTGTGAAATTTGATCATGTGGCTGGAAAATATAGAACAAAGGAGAAATTATTTTTTTTATTGGGTGCAATGATGACACTCATGTACCATGTACTGTAGTGTTATAGAAATTGACCCAATTAAGTCTGTTCGATCAGTTGACCCGTAAATTAGATTCACAACTGGTTTGGTTTAGCTATAGGTCCGGTTATGTATTTGACCCGACATGGCAGAGATGAACTAATCTTAAACTGGGTTCAATCAGTATAAACCAGCACCATTTAAAAAAAAATTAATTTTGTGAAATTTTTAACATAATGATTAAAAAAATACCATTAATGAGATTCGAACATAAACCATATAGATTATGAAGGAGGATATTTTGACTACCAAAAATTTCTACTACCACCTTACTACCTATCTAATCACCATTGGATTAACATTTTCTCTCTCTTCAAAAACTTTTTAACATTCTCTCTTTGATCCAACGGTGATTTGATAGGTAGTAAGGTGGTAGTGGACACTTTTAGTAGTCAAAATATCCCCCTCATAGATTATTACTTATACACTTACTACTAATCTAACTATAATTATTAACTAAAATGCTTTTAATTTTATATTTATAATTGTATCTTATTATATATTTAATTCATGCACAGCAACTCGTTGGTTGAATCGATAATCCATTGACTAATTATTCCGACCGAGTTGGTGACTGATTCAAGTTTAACAACACTTTGTACACATCTATAATCTCATATAAATTACAAAATTTCCTCCATTAATCTAATTCTAATTACTTATAATACAAAGAATTATAAGTACTATCAATGAATCATTCCATTTTTTTTCTTCTAATTTTATAAAAAAGAGAATATAAAAAATACAAAAAATATATCAAAGCGACATAAAAAATAGTAGAGTCCAGTATTTTTTCTTTTTTTGATCATAAAAAATAGTGGAGTCCTATTGGACCATAAAAAATAACAGAAAATAACAAGGAAAATAATTATCTCATGTTGCATGAGATAATTATATCATACAATAGAGATAAAATAGTGGAGTCCACTATTTTTTCTTTTTTTGAAAAAGTAGTGGATCCCACAATCTTATCTCTGTTGCATGAGATAACATGAGATTAATAGATCCCAAATAACAAATATTTTTTTAAATTATAACTATTTTTTAAGGGTTCGCTTTTTCTGCAATTACTGCAGATAAGTTATCTGCAGTAAGCCTAATACGACGTCGTTTTGGCACAGAAGTCATGGTGTTTTTATAATTTTAATTTATTTCAGGGTTATTATAGTCTTTATAGTTATAATTATTTAATTTTTCAATCCCAAAATGACGTCATTTTAAGAGTAAATACAAATAACTTATCTGCATTAACTGCAGAAATATTATTCTGATTTTTTAATTTTTAGAATGTCTAAGTTATTTTTACTTTGTATTTTAAATTATAATATTCAAAATAAAAAATGGAAAAAAATACTTATTTTATTCGCTATTGTACAAAATAATTCTAATAAATAAAAAAAATCACAATCAAACCGCCCATCAACTTCAGTTTGTGGATTTTGATGATGGCATTGGATTCGAACATGTTTGTGGTGCTTGGTCTTTTTTCTGTTTTTGTTACCACATCGAAGGCTGTTGCACCCATTCTTGACGTTTCCTATCTCAATCGGAGCAGTTTCCCCGCAGGCTTTATATTCGGGACAGCATCCTCGGCGTACCAGGTACATTTTATTATTTTTCATTTTATTTTTTTGTCAATTAATAAACCATCTTTTAACTTGAGTGGTGTTTTCAATTAGCGTTATATGTGAATGTAAAAAGCAAAGTGATTTAATTTTGTGTTACGAGTTTCTAGGTTCTTTTTTTTTTTTTTTTTTTTTTTGAATTTGTAGTATGAAGGTGCAGCAATGGAAGGTGGAAGAGGACCTAGTATATGGGATACTTTCACCCATAAATACCCAGGTATCTCTCTTCCTCTCCTCCACCACTTCTGGTTTTTTCTTTTTCTTTTTCAAATATACGAAATATCTTTCTTTTTTTTCAGTTCATAAATGATTCATCATACACTGTGTATATGACCTACAGTCCTAGACATTTAGTCTTCTTTGCCTTGAATATATAGAAATATTGAACTCAGTGGATTTGGAGTAGGAAATCTCTTTCTGTATGTGAGATTCTGCAAGTTCCATTCACTTAAGTGTAACATGCTAGCTTTTCTCCATTGATGGAATCATGTTCAAGGATCAATTTGAGCATAAAGTTAGCTGTTGAATTGCTCCAGTCTAATAGAATTTTGGGTTTCTGGGTGCAATTTAGGCCCCTGTTACACTGGGCCAGATGAGCTATTGCTTGCTTTAACTATAAATTGCCTCGTTATATGTATAATTTTCACTTATTTATCAATGAAATGGCATGCAGAAAAAATAAAAGATGGAAGTAATGGGGATATAGCCGACGACTCATATCATCGGTATAAGGTAAGGTTCAAATTGTAGTACTACATGGGTGAGTTTTGTATGAATATAAGAATTATAAGAAATATGTAGAGTCATGATTGGCTGGTCTACATATTTTAGGAAGATATTGGAATCATGAAGTATATGAATTTGGATGCTTATAGATTCTCCATTTCTTGGTCTAGAGTAATACCAAGTAAGTCAAATTTTGTTGATATTCCGCCCCAGATAATTTTCTTTTTCTTAGTTTGTCCCTCACAGTGACCATTATCAATTTCTTATATACTATTTGCAGAAGGAAAGCTTAGTGCTGGTGTAAACCATGAAGGCATAAACTACTATAACAACCTCATCAACAAGCTAGTGGCTAATGGTCATAATTCATTAATACTTCTTTATTTAACTCTTATTATGCATTGTTATCATATCCATGTGGTTTGTTAATCATAAATAATCATCAAGAATAATGCAGGTCTGCAACCGTATGTGACCATTTTTCATTGGGATGTTCCCCAAGTCTTAGAGGATGAGTATGGCGGTTTTTTAAGCCCTCACATTGTGTGAGTGAAATTTCCAACCAGAGCTACAGATATGTGACTACTGAGGGATAGTTTTTAGTAAATCTAATTAACTGATTGACATATACAATTCATGTGAGCATGCAGAGATGATTTTAGGGACTATGCTGAACTTTGTTTCAAGGAATTTGGTGATAGGGTGAAACATTGGATTACTTTGAATGAACCGAGGAGTGTGAGCAAGAATGGCTATGCAAATGGCAGGTTTGCACCAGGTCGGTGTTCTGATTGGCTTAAATTGAATTGCACGGGAGGTGATTCAGGGACAGAGCCATATTTGGCTGCGCACTACCAACTGCTTGCTCATGCTGATGCTGCCAAACTGTACAAGACCAAGTATCAGGTCCTCTTTCTGCTTCAACTTTTTTAAATCATGAAATGCTTTTTAAACTCAGAAGTGAATCTTTATGTCCTGAAATTTAAATGACATGAGACTTGAACATTTCTAATAAAAGAGTCAATTGTGGCTGAAAAGGTAGCTGGTTCGATTACTAGGCAAAGCACCTTGGGGCCAGTGGTAAAAACCTTCACACTCTATGGCCACGAATAGGATTAGTTTCATCCAAATAGATGGGACACCCCTGGGAAACCGAAAAAAGAAAAAAGAAGTCAAGAGTACAAAAACCATGCTTAATTTCTTTTTTTGGGGAAGACCATGCTTAGTTTTTATGTGAACTTATTGGATCTGTTACTAATTAAATAACCAACTATTTGATAATGTGTATGCAGGCATCTCAAAAGGGTTTCATAGGGATTACCTTAAATTCTGACTGGTTTGTGCCTGTCTCTAAAGAGAAATCAGATTGTGATGCTGCACGACGAGCCCTTGACTTCATGTTTGGATGGTAAAAGTTAAACTGTTCATAGCTTAAATGAAAGAAACACTAGCAGAGAGATTATATTGATTTATTGAAAATATGATCATGACATTATTGATGGTGTACTACTCCATTTTAGTGAGAAGACTGTGGTCCAACAACATTATATATCTGTGCAGTTACATCACTTATATGATCTAATTGTGAATGGAAAGCATTCCTATTTATTGTAAACTATTAGTCGATATACCACTAAGATTGGTGTGTTGGTACTCATTTTTATGTGGTGTAATTTGTGCTGTTTACACAAACTACATGTCTTCTCAGAAACCTGCATAAAATCAAAGGTAAACTACATATGAATTCAGTTGACTCCACTTGAATTTGAAATAAACATGCTTAAGTCTAACGAGCTGAATTCGAATGTAGTGATGTGCCATTTGTGCAAATTGTTTGGAAATCAGAAAAGAGTATCTCAATACTTACTTGTTGATTGCATTTCCATTTTGCATTTTGGATTAGGTATATGGAGCCTCTCACAAAAGGTGAGTATCCAAAAAGCATGCAATCTATGGTGGGAAACCGCCTTCCAAAGTTCTCCAAAGAAGAAGCCAAGCAACTCAAGGGGTCGTTTGATTTTCTGGGCCTAAACTACTACTCATCCTTTTATGCTTCATATGCACCTCACCTCCGTGGTGCCAGACCAGCCTTACAAACTGATGCTCTTGTTAATGTTACAAGTAATTATCAAGTTGTTTATATGCTTGCACTAGTTTCTTCAGTTTTAATGAATGGCCAAACATAATTGAAAGAGAACTTATTGTACTGACTGTGCATTATATATGAAAGCATGTGTTTTTTTTTTCAATGACAGATCAGCATGACGGCAAGCCCCTTGGTCCAATGGTATGTATTTCATCATTTCACTGGCAGCTATGTTACAATATCATTTGTTACCTTTTTTTTTCTCGAGAAGAATATGTTGAAAATATAAATAGAACTCTATTTCTAATTTTGTGCAGGCTGCTTCGAACTGGTTATGCATTTATCCAAGAGGGTTTCGACAACTATTGCTTTTCATCAAGAAGAACTACAACAACCCCACAATTTACATTACTGAAAATGGTAGTATATCAATTATATTTCTTTTTTTTATTAGATATATTATGTATACTGTTTAATTATTTTAAGTGTTAATATAGCTAATGAAAATCTAACAAAATTAATTGATAGGTTATGATGAGTTTAATGATCCAACACTATCACTTGAAGAAGCCCTTATAGATACTTACAGGGTTGATTACTTTTATCGTCATCTTTATTATCTTCAAACTGCAATCAGGTAATAATACATCATAAAAAAAAGCCTCTCTCCACACATTGATTTCATGCATATTGTAGGATTATGCATTTTAATTTGCAGTAACGTTATTCTCATACTTGCTTTTCATACTTTCTTCTTACATCTACCTTTTATGTTAAAAATAGAGAGAGAAGGAGGAAGGTGAGTTTTTTTTTTTCTTCCTTTTTTTACTATAAAAGGTAGATGTAATAAGAAAGTATAAAAAACCAGTGTATAATTGACATTTTTGGTTAATTCTTATGTTTTTTGTTTACTTTTATGTGTTGAAGGGATGGTGTGAATGTAAAGGGATATTTTGCATGGTCATTGTTGGATAACATGGAATGGGACTCTGGCTATACCGTGCGATTTGGACTCGTCTTTGTGGATTTCAAAGATGGCTTGAAAAGATACCCAAAACTCTCCGCGCTTTGGTTCAAGAATTTTCTCAATAAATCTTAAGCGTATATACTCCAATTAAAAAGTGATGTGAAAATCAGATTGAATAAAAAAAATAATCTGAAATTCATTCATATATGACAAAGATATAGCCCTTGTTCCAAGTAAAGCACTTGTTTTGCGCACTCTTTTACCCCAATGAAATCAATTAACTATCACTAATCAATCAGCCACGCTACTAAAATGTTACGTTCTTGTTTCATTGATACAATTCACATAGTAGAATTGTGAGATAAACAATAAGAATGTATGAGTTTAAATATTACAATGCGTCTTGTTATCAGTCCAATTTATTTCTAGATTCTAGCAGAAAATAACTTTTTCCATTCCGAAAAGGAAGAAGGTATTAAAGAATCTTTTATAAACAAATTGTAATATTTATTTTTCAAATATGATGATAGTCTTCAATGTGATTTTGAGAGACTAACTCAAATCCAAACTGAATATAGATCGACTTTTATGTGTAGTTATCATGGTAAATTGATAGTACGTGATAAGTATCTGAATTGAGACTTAAAATATTTAACTCATTTCCAAGTGACTTTAATGTTTTAGCTGGATATAAGGTTAATGGGCTGTTATGTTGTCATTACAGGAAAATTAAGGTCCGGAAACTCAAGGATTGAGATGAGCCCATGTGAAAGAAAGAAAAAAAGAGGTAGGCAAACAGTCCAATTCAGCATTGATCCAAAGGCAAGTTTGTAGTTATGTGATAGCTGCTTCTTTTTTATTGTTAGTTCCCCTTTCTATTTGTTTGCTTCTGTCTCTGATTAGTGTCTGCTGATCAAGCCTTTTGCTTGATATAGCCAGTTAAGGTTGAGATTTTCTTTAAGTTAAAAAAAGGGAGTGCGTTAGTGCAACTCCTCATCCTTTTTAAGAAACCTTTAACCCTAAACCAGAGAGCCTTTAGGTTTAGAAGAACTCAGAGAAAATAGACAGGTCCAAAATCCTAATTTTGAGGAGATGGATAATCCAGAGAACCAAGGGAATGAGAATGTAATGAAGAACAACCTAGAAGGATAATGAATTAGCCCATGGATGATAATGACAGGTCCATGATGGACATTATCATTCCAGTCTTGGATGAACTTGATCCAAGCATTGTCCAACCAGTCATAAAAGTTTCCTTTAATCTTGAACCCATAATGTTTACTATGTTGCAAAACATGGAACAATACCATGACCTACCTTTAGAAGATCCTCACAAGCACTTGAGGAACTTCATTGAGGTTGCCAACACCTTTATGAACCCAAACATTTCAGATGATGTTTTGAGACCGAAACTCTTTCCTCATTCCCTTTCTTATAAAGCCAAAGAGTGACTGAACTCTCTTCCTTCTAACTCTAACAACTTGGGATGATCTAGCTAAAAAGTTCATCATGAAAGTTTTCTCAATCTAATAAGATTGTTCAAACTAGGGGAGAAATCACTAATTTTATGCAGAAAGATGGTGAAACTTTAGTAGATGTTTGGGAGAGATTTAAACTTCTGCTTAAACAGTGTCCAAACCATGGATTGCCATCTTGAGTCTTGATACAGACCTTTTACAATGGTCTCAGCTCACAAAACAGAACCTTAGCAAATTTTGCTGCAAATGAGATGTTTATGTCTAGATCTTTCAATCAAGCTCATGAGCTATAAAAGAATAAATGGCTCAAAACTATTCCCAATGGCCTATGGAGAGGTCTCAACCCAAGAGAGTTGCTGGCATACATGAAGTAGACTCTATGAAAGCACTTTCAACTAAGTTTGATGCATTATCAACTTTAGTTAGGACTCAAGATTCAGCCAAATTGCTGGCATACATGAAGTAGACTCTATGACAACAATTTCAACTAAGTTTGACAGCACTTTTAATCCCTTTTTAATTCCTCAAAGATGCAAAAATACTTTGCACAATAACCTTTAAGTTGTTTTGTTTAGCTTCAGTCTTAGATCAGTAATCTCTGAGCAAGGTTTTTAGAGAAGAAGGAGGTACTTCTCCTCATCGATTTTGAGAATATTAGGCTGAGGGTTGAGCAAAAGGCTACTGTCTTGAAGGTTGTTAGTAATTTTAGGAGGGGAAGGGTGGTCTAGGCTGAGTGTTAGATGGACCAGCTTGCTGGCATTTCCCTCGGGAATACTGGAAACTAGTATTTTGCTTCCAGCCTTGGTTAAAATTATTAGAAAAATTATTCTGGTTTCTATTGTAGTTTCCTACATAAAAGACAGATTCGGGATTGGATGGACAACTCTCAAAGAGATGAGGACCATTAAAAGACACATGAATCTTTTGAAGTGGAGGAGACGACTTGGACTTGAGGTTGAGAGGGCTGGGGTTGGGCTAATTTGGCCTCTGTGGCTTGACCTTGAGTCCTAACTAAAGTTGATAATGCATGAAACTTAGTTGAAAGTGCTGTCATAGAGTCTACTTCATGCATGCCAGCAACTCTCCTGGGTTGAAACCTCTCCATAGGCCATTGGGAATAGTTTTGAGCCATTTGTTCTAACAGCTTATGAACTTGATTAAAAGATCTAGACATGAACATCCCATTTGCAGCAGAATCTACTAAGGTTCTATTTTGTGGGCTAAGACGATTGTAAGAGGTCTGTATCAAGGCCCAAGATGGCAATCCATGGTTTGGACACTGTTTAAGGAGAAGTTTAAATCTCTCCCAAACATCTACTAGAGTTTCACCATCTTTCTGCATGAAATTAGTGATTTCTCCCCTGGTTTGGACAATCTTATTATATGGGAAAAATTTCTTGTTGAACTTTTCAGTTAGATCATATCAAGTTGTTATAGAATTAGAAGGAAAAATTTTCAACCACTCTTTGGCTTTATCAGAAAGGTGGTGAAAGAGTTTCAGTCTCAAAACATCATCTGAAATGTTTGGGTTCCTAAAGGTGTTGGCAACCTCAATAAAGTTCCTCAAGTGCTTGTGAGGATCTTCTGAAAGTAGGCCATGGTACTGCCCCATGTTTTGCAACATGGTAAACATTATAGGTTCAAGCATAAAGGAAATTTTTATGACTGGTTGGACAATGCTTGGATCAAGTTCATCCAATACTGGAATGATAAAGTCCATCATGGACCTGTCATTATCATCCATGGGCTAATTCATTATCCTTCTAGGTTGCTCTTCATTACCATTCTCATTCTCTGGATTATCCATCTCCTCAAATTTAGGATTTTGGACATGTCTATTTTCTCTCTGATTTCTAAACCTAAAGGTTCTCTTTGGTTCAGGGTCAAAGGCTTCTAAAAAGGGATGAGGAGTTGCACTAATGCACTCCATCTTTCAAACTTAGAGAAAATTTGAACCTCAACTGGCTGTATCAAGCAAAAGGCTTGATCATCAAACTTGTTGCCTTGCTACTAGTTAAGCAAGTATGGCGTACACGACAACAAGTAGTAAATGAGATATTTGAGACCCAATTATCGTTCCCACATAAATTTTGGCGTTTTGACTCAACTACAAAATTTGTAATTGCTAAACATAATTGAAACTAAAAAAAAAATAGAAATATCAAAAAGATAATTAACTAACAAGACTAAACTGTTTTTGAAATATTTTTGTTTTGAATCAACTTTTAATAGGTAAATGAAATGAGTAAATTAAATTGGAAATGCGTTTTTCTTTTCTGATATAAAAGTTTGTTGTATAATTTAAAACAGAAAGTTGACAATGAAAAGATAAGGAATATTAAGAAATATTGTTGGTGAGAATGATTAGAGAAATGGGTTGAGTCTTTGGTTTCCTTCCTCACAGTGCTTGAATAATGATTTGATTATCACATTGCTCCTCAATTATCTTCAGTTAACCGAACACAATTATTAACCCTTAATCCCTTAAAAATTATTTTATCCTAACTCAACACATACATTAGGATTCTTGAAGCTCAGGTTCATTGTTACATGGAGGACTCCTTCATTTCTGAAGTGAAATCCCTTAGATAATCCCTCACCCAAGTCCATGATTACAAGATCCAGAATGAGCTATTTCCCAATAACTCGTCTCTAAACAAGCCTGTCGTAAATGGAAAAAAACTTCAACAATTGAACAACTGAAGTTTAAAAAATAAAATCCATTGTAGTTAGGGTAATGTGACTTTGAGAGACTAACTCAAATCCAAACTGAATATAGATCGACTTTTATATGTGTAGTTATCACGTTAAATTGATAGTGCGCTAGATTTGTATTTTTATTTTAAACTACCTATGAACTCTATTAAGTGCGTACATCTATCATCAATGTCTGTATACTCCTTATAAACGGTTCTCACATCAATGATTCAAGTTACATTCTGAACGTGTGTTCAATTAGATATAATGAACAAAAACATCTCTTTTATATTAATTTTAGCATCAACGTCTGAATACTTAATTAAACTGAAAAGATCCTTTACTCGGGTCAGTTTTGTTCTTTTCTTTAAGATCGGAGCAGTTTCCTCCGCCTATCAGGTTACATCACAATTAATTGTACATTGCTACAATTTTTTTTTTTTTTAAATTACTCTAGACCATACAAATATATATGTGTTTGTATGTGTGGATATTCTACTTCAAATTTTCATAATATCATTCTAAGGCCTAAGCTAGTATAGTATATGTCTCAGGATCAACTTAGAAAGAAGCTTAAGAAAATGAGTTAAATTTGTACAGTATAATTTTTTGTGTTGATGATGTAATACGAAGGTGCTGCAAATGAAGGCGGCAGAGGACCAAGTACTTGGGATAATTTTACTCATAAACACCCAGGTATCACCATTTATTATTTTCTTTCTTTAATTTTACTCTGTCTCAAATCGGTGTATAATTTGGAAGAAAAATAAAAGATGTTAAATTTACCTGTTCTGTTTCTATAATTAATGATCTCCTTGACAATGCAAAACTTTTTGTAATTGTTTATATTGATTAAGTTCAGTAATTCAAAGAGGTTAACATGTGGTTAAACAAATGTGTTTTATGCCTTAATACAATAAGAAAAAACCAAATATTCAATTTGAACATGTTCTTGGCGTGAAAATCAAATAAACTCAGTTGCCGGACCAGACTGCTTAACCTCTAGCAATATAAAATATTTTCTTAGCTGAAGATACGGAAGATACAGAATGGAGCCTCTCCTCTTTTGTGTGTAAAATTGAACAAGTTCTGTAAGTCACTCTGAAACTTCACGGGTGCCTTAGAGTATTGTGAGCGATAGGGACTCGAAGTTCACATCTCACTTCTGAGGAGCATTGTCAGCGATAGGGATCCGAAGTTCACATCTCACTTTTGGAGAACACTGCAGCAGGCTTTCGACATTTAATTGAGACTGAGCACGACTTATAATCCTCTCAGACTGATGGTGAGAGGACTATTCAGACCATGTGCCCTAGAGCAGAGTAAGTCATGGGGATAGATATCTTCCACTGGTAGAGTTCTACTACAATAATAATTTCTATTCCAGTTTGGGCATGACACCATATGAGGAATTGTATGGCCGGCGATGTAGATCACCCACTTGTCGACATAAATAAATCACAAATCGAGACTATAGAAAAGAGAATCTGTAACGCCCCGTCTACAGCAGGTTAATTAACATTCATATGATAGTAAGCGCAGTATGCTCAACTTAATTAATCCGAAAGCTAACTGAATAAATTTTCTCTTTTTTCTTATGTATTGCAAACTTTTTCACTTCCATGGCCAAAATAGAACAGACAACATTTCGTCTGTATTTTGGACCACTGGGGATAATTTTTACCATGATAATTTCAACCTGATTGACAGTTAATATAATCCAGACATAAATCATATTACCTAGTCATCCATGGCATATGTATCTCATAATCCTTCTGACCAAAATAATGTCCATGATGTTACTTATATATAACATCTCGGGCACTGATGAAGGCGGGGAGTGATCGCCGGTGTGAAAGGGCATGGACAAGGAGTGGCTCCTGACAGGCTTCCAGCGGGGGGTTACATGAATGAATTGAATCGACACTCGAAAGAAAGAGATTCCAAAGACTGTGTAGGTATAAGACTGCACATTTGGGATAACTTATAAGAATTAATTGGTACTACCTATACTAATAAGATGTATCTACTTTTCGGTAGCCTGAAACGGAAGAACTTCATAGTTAAGCGTGCTTGAGTTGCAGTAATTCTGGGATGAGTTATCTCCTCGGAAGTTTTTCCATGAAGAGTGCGAGTGAGAAAAAAGCATACTGAAAAGCCTCGTGTTAGTATGTGAGGCTAGTCATTGATTCTTGAAGCGGTCAGGTGTTACAAGTGGTATCAAAGAAGGGCTTTTCTCCCAGTACGGTGTGGTTCGAGGATGAACCAGGCGGAAGCTGGTGGGCATGTAACATCTCGGGCACTGATGAAGGCGGGGAGTGATCGCCGGTGCGAAAGGGCATGGACAAGGAATGACTCCTGACAGGCTTCCAGCGGGGGGTTACATGAATGAATCGAATCGACACCCGAAAGAAAGGGATTCCAAAGACTGTACAGGTGTGAGACTAGACATTTGGGATAGCTTATAAGAAT